CTCCTGCCTTTACTCATACAGATTGGAGAACAGGAGTTCCATGAGAATCCTTCTGGCCCCTCACCCATTTTGTAGGGCTGTCCACACTTGTAAGCTTCTAGTGATCGCAAACTGATCAAAATCTGTCATCACACAGCTACACTTGCATTTGTTATAATAGCATTTAAAATGATGATTACCAAAACTAATATTAATAACGGTAATAGAATTGATAGTTTTTACTTTCTCTCTTTTACAAATACGAATTTATTGGTCCAGCCTATCCTCGATCATCGAATAAATTTTTGTGATGGTATGTTTGTAGGTGTCTAGATTATTCTTGTTTCACAGCTAAGATACAAATGGCCAACCATTTGAGAGAAGACACTCACGCTTCTATTTAGTCTTGAGCTCTGTGGAATCTGAAGTTAATGCGACCGACCAGGACTCATATCAAAGCTAACTGGATAGGGACTAGTTTGTGGGAGGTGCTTCCCAGCACTGGGTGTAAAATACAGGTTGCAGGAAAGTTAGTGGAACTTCTTTCCTTGGAGATTTTGAGGCCCAGCAGAACTCCTCTTCTTTATATTATGAGAATGTGGGCTAGATGGGTCTCAAGAGCTAACTTAGTCAAAGTCAAGTTTTTGATTAACTGACTATTGGATTTTCCTTCTCCATCAGGCACTATTGGATCTGACATCCTTATTGTCATAAGGGAAGCATTTGAAAATACTAAATCACACATTTCAGAACAAGAATGAAGTTCCAAGATTATCTGGCCCCTTGCCTTCATTTTACAAATGGGGAATGCAGCTCAGTAAGGAAAAGGGACATATCTGTGGTGACATAACCATCAGGCATAGAGCTAGATTTAAGTATAGGTCTTCTCCCACCTCTCCTTACTAAATAGGAGAAATGCACCTGGCAGGGCAAGGTTGTCTGGGAGATCAGGGAGTCCTGGGGTCTTTGCTGGACTCTGCATGAGTGTGCAAGGAATTTCTACTCAGGACTCTCAGGGTCTTCCCCCAGCGAAGTCTGGTACTGCCCCAGCCCTCACAGCCTTACAAGGAAGAAAAGAGGCTGTTTTCCACCCCCTCAGGCAGCCCCAAGGTCATAACTTAACCTGCATAATTAGAACATCCATTCCAGAGGGGAAAACATTTAAAAGATAAAGGACCTCTTTAAAAGAGATTCTTCCCAATACATTTTTTTCATAATTATAGTTTTAAAAGCTTATGGTGATGGGAGAGCTGGCTACTTAAGAAAAATTAGGAGTCTCATTTGGCAGGAGAAGATTCCCCAGGGGACAGCACACTGTCATTTTTCAGGGCCCCTGAAAAGAAACCCCCACACAGACAGATACATGTCAGCCTGATGCACGGCAAGCCTGCTTCACTTATTATGGCCAAAGCCAGATATTTTAATTAAAAACACTACACACGCCATTAAATGTGTTGTTCCCCCTGCCGTCCCAAGACGTTATAGTTCGAGGAGATACAAACAAGTGAATGCATTACAGATGTACCCGGAAACCACCGCCTACTGAGTCACAACCAGCGGGTTCCCAAATTCCAGGCTCGGAGCGCCTCCCTGTCAAAATGTTCTTTGCAAGCAAACTGTTCCCTCTGTAATTTTCACAGTTTATGGCAGTTGCCATGACGGGAGAATAGGGCCATGGGGAGGCGGGGGAGAGAAACACGCTGCCTGCCACCTCACTTAATTTATAAGCAGATTCCATTATTTTACAAATAACCTTCATGATAAATAAAGTCCTATGGCCACACATGGGATTGTGGTTTGGTTTTGTTTTGTGTTTTTTTTTTCCCCTTCCTTGTTAATGTTATTTATTTATTTATATATTTTTGGAGCACTAAAGTCCCACATGAGGGATAATCACCTCCCGACTGTGAGCTCCGGTAGGATTCTCAACAGAGGCAACACTTGCTTAATTTAAGCAATTGTAGGGGGTGTGAGTTCAAACATTTCAGCCGATTTTAACTGTCACTAGCCAGACCACCTTTCTCCCCAGGAGAGCACCAGCAGCTGGATTTCATTTTTGGCCGCCAGGCCGCCATCCCCGTGCCTTCCTGGAGCAGCCCACAGACTGAGCGCCTTCCCTTTAAGGATTTTATTCAAGGTGACAGCTCCTCGCACGTTGGCAGTCCGATCACCTCAAGTAGCCGAGATAGCAGGGGGCTGAGTGTGCTCCTCCTGCAAAGTCCAAATTTAGATTGACTGAGGTTATCCTTAGGCCCCTTGACCCCAAGTGCTCTGACAGAACAGGGCTGCCCGGAACTTACAGCAGCGAGTTTTGTAATGATGTCTGGGGAGAAATGCTCTGCAGGAGCAGGCGGAGAAGACCCCAAGTGATAGCGAATGATGTCAGCTTTCGTTAGAGCCGCAGACAGTGTTAGAATATCCTTGGCATAATATGGCACCGGTATCTCTGTCAGCATCTCTGTTTTCTGTCACCGCACACAATCCTGGGCCTGTCTCTAGCCCTGACAGTGTCTTTTCAGATCAGGTTATTGCCAGCACAGAGACTGGCTCTGCTCCCCACCACACAGCCTTTTGTTTGAAGTCTGCCCTTTTGTCATCAATGCACTTGATGTCTATTTAAACCTGACGGTGAGTGCGGTATCTGTTTTCCCGTCAAGAGATCATTGACAATATTAATACCTCATGTCCTTGCCTCATTTTCCAAGCTCTGACACCTCGCCAGTCTCCCGCATTCATCAAACAGCCCTCTCTCCCCAGGATGTCTATAAACATTCTTGCTTCCGGGCCCAAAGGAACAGGGCAGGCCTTAAAAAGGACTTTCATCAGTACCAACCAGAAAGAAGGCCTGGGGAACATGGCTCAGAATACTTTACCTCCCTCCACATTACAGCCCAGGTTCCAGGAGTAGCCAGCTTGTTTCCAGGATGGGACTTGCCATCCAGGTGGTATCTAGGCAAGATCTGGAGTTGATGGTTACCAAGGAGAGAGGGGAGAGTCAAGAAATTCAATCCCAGAACACACTGGAGGATTTACTGGAGGGAATGCACCCGGCTCGTGGGTAGTGTGTGTGTGTGTGTGTGTGTGTGTACGTGCCCGTGTCTGCCTTTTGTTCTTTTACTCAAGAGAAAGACTGTATTCTTTATGATATCTGACAGCCCTATCCATTTCTTTTTATAAAAATTCATGCTGTCCTGGTACTGTAGAAAGAAATTAACATCCTTGGCCTCGTCCTTCCAGATTCTTGAGGGTTTGTTTGAGTCAATTATGTTTAAGGAAGCCCTTTGTGGATTTTCAGAAATGTCTGAGACACTCCCACCCAGGCCTCTAGGGGATGCTGTTCCTGGAACAGAACCTGACAAGCCAAGCCTGACCAACAGACCAGTTCCCAACGTTGGTGACAACATTAGTACAACCGCAGGGTTATGTAATTGCAGTGAAGGGAGCTGTTTGGGGCCAATAGCCAAAGGAATACTTTTTAGCCCAAGGAGGGTCTCGAGGCTTGATGTTTCCAAGCACCTAATTTCTGAAAAGCAGAAATTAGGGATTTGGGCCAAGGAGAAAGCATGACCAAGGGGGGGTCCACAGTAGCCTTGTTCACAGAAATGTGACAAATAGAAGTTAATGAGAGCAAGCCCAAGACCAGTCTGAGACCATGAAACAATGTCATCCTCTCCCCTTTTCCAACTCTTGAGAGATTCTGCAACCCCAGTCATTCCTAAATTTGTCCTAAGCCATCCAAACCATGAAACATCTGTCCTGTCCTTAAAGGTTTCTAAGAGCCATTTTTAATCCTTATTTAAGAATAATGTTTAAAGTTCTACAGTAGAGAAACATCTCTTGTACAATCCCAAAAATATTTACTACTTAGAACTGCTGTGAAGAACCTGGATAATTTCTAGTACTAATTTACCCCCGATGAACATTAGATGGTGATTGTTGGTTTCACACTATCAAACAGAGAGACAAATAATCATGCATATAGGTAGCTATTTTTACAGGCAGATTTGTGGCTCATGAATTAATGTTTTATGGACACTCCTTTGCTTTTTTCTGGTTATGCACACTTCAGAGACTCAAGTGCTCTTAGTAATAAGGCAACTCTGTGAAGCTGAATTTTAAGTTAGTTTTTCTAAAATTAGAAGAAAACACAAGATGGCAAAAAGCAAACTGTAATTATAAATGTTTTCTTTGAGGAAGACTGATTTGCCCTTAATAATTACACAAAGCTTCCATAATAACTGTGGCAGGTAATTTCTTATGGATATTTAGAATAAATATTGAGTTGGTTAGAAGATTTGACCCTATTCTAGGGGTATTTTTCATACTTAAATTCTCCTACAGTCTCCTTGAATGAAACAAAAACTGTACATAGAGCCACAAGATTATTTAAACTAAAACTAAAGATGAAAATCAAAGGCATTCCAACCTGAGGATTCATTTCAGGCCTCCTGTAAGAAGAAGCCCTTTAATGTCAGAGGCTCTTGTTACTTTTCATGTGGCACTTTGTCAACACCATCACTCTTCCTCGATCACCCAGTAGGTGCTTGATGCCTCCTGGGATTTAGAAGATTCTCCCTGAAAGTTAATAGTATTGATTCATGATAAAGGACTTGAAAAGAGTCACATTCTGGGAAGATTGTTTTACATCTTTTGCTTGGGCCAGACCCGTCTAGAAAGTCTTAATCTTCCATTTTCAGAAACTCTACTAAGGGACCCCAGAGAGGGAAAGGGTTATTATTCTTTATTTTGAGGAGTACTTGGCCAAACTAGAAAAGTCTCTGAAATGTGGAGGAGAATTCGTGCAGAAAACATGGTATTCCTAGGTGCCTGTGCTCTGGTGATATTCTACTTGAATGTCAACTCTGAGGACAAGAAAGTAGGGTCCTTCCCTCCTGGGGCTTAATCCATTTGCTGCTACCCACCGGATCTGTGACCATGTTGCATATCTGCTTTACTACACCTATGTTTCCTTGCTGTACTAATTGTGCCGTCTCTAAAGATGTGTTTCCTTTTCTTTGCAGGTGTCCTGGGGAAGTGTCGCTATGTTTACTATGGGAAAAACTCAGAAGGCAACAGGTTTATCCGAGATGACCAGCTCTGATGGCAAGTTCTGAATGCTTTAGCCTGTGTCATGAGAATAAAAGAAAAAGGGAAAGTAAAAATAAAGAAAAAAAACTAAAGGAAAAAAACAATGGCCCACATCACATGTCTGTGGGAAGGCTGTGACTTCAGCTTTTGGTACCTTCTGCTGACTTTGCCAGGCCTGTCAAGATCATCCTTCTGCCTTAGACTGAGTGGTCACATAGAGATTGACATGATTGCCCTTAAGCAGGTCTCATCCACTAGGGTGACAGACAGCGGCGGCGAAGCACCAGGGCTGACAGGAGGAACACCATGATAGATTGCCTGGCCCCTCCACTGCTCACAGGGGAGCAGAGGTCACACCTGGGGCCTCCCTGAGCATGCTCGTTGGCCGTAGTCAAGCGAGAGAAACTGTGTCTTCAGCTTGCCTATTGAGTAGAGATCCCTCTGATACCATTGTGCTGTGGGTTTATTTTTAGTGAAATAATCACAGTTTGGAGGAAGGCCACCCTCCCTTATTCACCTTGAATTTTAATCCCTTATTTTCTGCACACACCCACACATTCCAACAAAACACATACCATCCTTTAGCATCTTTATTACAGGTAGTGCATTTTGGCTTGCAGTTTTTCAGAGAACTGAAGGTTCTCAGCCAGGTCATACATTTATGGCTGACTTTGTGTTCTTACAACTGGAGTAAATAGCTTTCCTTAAATCCCTAACTACAAAAGCATGGACTCTGTCTTGTTTTGTACATTTCTAAATCCACTTCTTGCCCTGTATACTAGGCAATGTCAGGCATCTTTCCCAGCACCAAGTTCTGATTGCACCAAGGACTCTGATTTATTTATGTATGTATGTATTTATTTTTAACAACACGTACATCCAGCTATGCCTGTGGCCATATTTGTAGTTTGGAGCTGGCTTGCTCCTTTGGGTGCTATTTAAAGGTAGGGAGGTGATGAAAACAGAGTGATGGGTCAGGAAGTTAAAAAAGAAAGTGAAGACTATAGAAAACACCCACCAGACCGAACAGTTTTTAACAGAAGGCACAAACCTTTGAGTTTGGTATCTTCCTCAGCACCTCTCAGAACCGAAATCCATAGCTTGTGAGGATGGTCTTTGTGTGTCTTTGGCTATATTCCAGCACTGTTACAAGGAAAATAAGCACAGTCATACCAGTAAGGTGGCTATCATTTCATTTAACGGAATGATACACAAGTAAAATCACTCCAGAAAAGTCTTTGAAAGGCTGATTGCTCTTGATGCAATCGCATTTATTTTTGCTTCTTCTGTTTAGACCAGGTGTTCATTGGCTTGGATCTCTCAGTATTAGGTTAGATTGAGGGCAACAAAACTTCAAAGAGAATTCTTCCAAGTTATAGATACTACACAACTAGAGAGTCACTACTGTAAAAGTCTTTGGGGACTCAACATCCCTCAGGACCCAAGAAGAATCTGCTTTCTCAGTTCTAGACCATTTAAGTGGCCTCTGGCCTCCTGAGTCAACTTATTCTTTGAATGACTTGCAATAAGGCAGGCAGGAATCTCTTTTGTAGGTTATGCAAGTTAAACAGTTATTGAGACAAATTTTGATCAAAATCCTCGAGGCCATTAATAACTAGAGGATATTAAATGTTTGCCTTTATCTCTCAAATTCATTAATAACCAGAGCTGAGTACCTTTTCACTGTTTGATCTACAGAACAGCATTGAGATGATGCTTTAAATTAGCTGCATTAAGTCCCACCCTGTTCTTTGTTTAGAAACACCAACACATGTTTTGTCCATGGCATATTACGGGCAGCCAGATTTCTGTGCAAGGGCAGCTAGACTAGTCCAATGTCATATTTAATCTAGCGGCACATATATCCTTGTCTTTATAAAAGGCTTTAACCCTGCCTCAAACAATAAAAAAGCACTTGTGAACTGACCACAGAATTTTTCCATCTTTATTTTTCTTACTTGTTTACTTTTCTTAATGTCAGAACCATTTGTATCATGCACAGGAATGTCTCCCTCAATGCGAGGTTTGGAGGCAAAAAAAATACTTTTGGAGTGAGTTATTGACCACATTGTTTCCTTCTCTTTGGGTTGTTTATTTTCTTCCAAAAGGGTGTAATAACTTTAATTAAAATTAGCTTTAATTATAATTTACGTAAAGGCCATCACTATGATATATTCATCTTAATGATAGAATGAGTATGAGTTTTGTTTCTTTTAAAAAGGGATAATGATAATGAATCAGTGTTGGACTGTTTACAGTTATACTGTTTGTTAAGCAAGATTTGCTGTGCTACAGCTAGAATTTGGTCCGAATTCGTAGAGGAGGAAGCAATGTTGCATGCTAAAATCTATAAGAATTTCCCAAACCTTGTTTTTTAAAGTAGAAAATTAGAAGGTAATGAATTCAATCAAAGCTCAGAATTCTTACATGCCCCCAATTTCCCCTTGCTCCTTCTGCCTTATACCCTATTCCTCTGAGCTTTCTCTTAGGAGATCATGGTATCTGACATCCCTGTATCCTCTCTCCCAGGACACCGATCTGCCTTGAGTGCCCCTGCAATAGAAGGCCATCCCGGAGTCCTCTGTTGCCTCTGCAAAGTCAGGGCGGACTGTCTTTTTCCTAAGTAATGCAATTTTATAGAACAATTTGTTCCTTGGGGAATAATGTTTTAGATTGTGGGGAATCCTATTAAAAGTACAACTATTACAATAATTTGCTTTTACTTTTACCAGCCTTGCTCATAAACCCTCCATCTGTTTGTTGCTTTAAATAGAGGCACATTATAAGAGATTATCACTCGATCAGGCGACACGTCTGAGTGTTGTGCATTTTCACATATTCATGTATACTAAGGAATAAAAGAAAGCAAACCAGAGATCCCAGATGAAAGGGTTTTGCATTTGTTTTATTTTGTTTTGTTTCATTTTGTTTCATTGTGTGTGTGTGTGTGTGTGTGTGTGCGCGCGCGCACGTTCCAGCAGAGATGTGTCTTGCACATCTTTAAGGGAAAATCTTTCTTGCTGCTCCTAAGAAATAACCTGGCTGTCTTTTTCTTCTTTGTTAATATGCAGATCAAAAACAATCCACAGGGCTCTTTTCATCAAAAGCAATAGCAGTGTTCAGTAGTTGCTACATAAAAGCAGCCTAAGTCAGATCTGAGTCACTACCTAATGCCAAGGGTGGACAACAGAGGGTCCATTGAGACTCTCCCATGGTGTCTATCCATTGCAGCTGATCCAGTGTGACATTCACCATCTGCTTATCCCAATTCTGTTTCCAAGAAGCTTTGCTGAAGAAGGGTGTTTCCATTACTTGTTCTCCCCCTACTTGTCCAAATACCATGTGGTAAACTACCATGACTAGGACCTGGAAAGGAAAATGAGACCAGAGGAGCACAAAACATGCTGGTTACTTATTTGTAGGACAAACAGACCATCAGCCCATAGTGCAGTACTTCCAGTGCGTCAGTAAACACTTCAGGGATTTGAAGATCAGAAAACACAGCCAGTCTCCAAGAATACTGTCTTCCTATATGTTTACCTGTAATTTTCCAGCATTAGTAGTCCTCCTTTGGGGAACTGTAACGTTAATTTGTCACTCTGTGGATGAAGTAGGTAATGTTATGTTATTTGTACATATTAACATACTAGCATGTGTAAATTTTTCTAAAGCATCACGGAATGTGGCCTGGAGAACATGCAACCTAGGACAAGGGAGTTTAGCTGAGAAACAAAAGAAGACATTTAAGTATGGAATGTGTCTGGGAGTGAGTTGCTAAAGTAGGGGTGATGTATATGGTAATAAATGAAATTATACCAAAGGAGAGCATGAGGCAGAGTGTGGAATTGGAAGTGTGGGCTCATCGTAGACAGGGGTAAATCAGGAGCTGAGGAATAATGAGAAAGGAAGTGAATAGACAGGTTTGATTTTTTGTTTGTTTGGTTGTTTGTTTCTTTTTTTTTTTTTTTTTTTTTTTTTTTTGCCAATTAGAAGGGTTGCTGATGTTCAGCCCTAGAGTGATATTTAGCAACATCTCCTCCTCAAAATGGAATCATCTTTGATATAAGTGAGGAGTGCCACTATTCAGTAATGTTTTACAGACTACTCTGCCCAAGACAATGGAACAGTGAAGAAAAGATGGATTACAAAGCCCTGTGGGCTTAAATAGCCATATGTGTGCTGACTGCCTACGGACAAAGATGACTATGGCATATGGTTAATATTCAACAAAAACCAGCATCCTAAGGTAAGTTCCCTTGCTGCTTGGACCAGCTGAAATATAAGGGAAACACTTGTTGTCTGGGCAGTTAGATCAAAGAGAGAAAATAGTTTCACGCTCTTGCCAAAACTTCATATGTTCATTAAGTTCAGGTAGGAGGTAGAGGGCTTTCTTGATGATACAACGCAAAAGTCAAGAGTTTTAAGGAAAACAATGAAGGCCTCTACATGGGGCTGAAGATGCTGCAAGAGGAAGATGTTGGTAATAAGAGTTGACTGTCCCTAGGTTCAGGCAGTAAAGGGTAGCTCAACCTATAGGACAAGTGGATGACACTTAAGTTCAACTGGATAGCTTCAATTAGCATGTAGAATAATCTGAAATAATTAATGTTTACATTTTTTCACATCAATTACCTTAAACCAACGTTTCCTCTTCCATGTTGGAATAATTCCTTCAGTCTTGGAAATAGGAATGGATTTGAAAGGTACTGGGAATAATTTCCTTTAAATACTACTTTTCAATTTGACTCCTTGTGATAAGAGGGACAAAGGTGGCTCATGGTGGGCTTTACCACAATATTTAGACTATTAAGTTATGGAGCTTTGAAATAGGTAAGAATTAATATACATTATCCATTCACAGAGGTTACTAAATCATAGTTTAATGATCCAGGCATACTTCATTTTATTGAGCTTTGCTTTATTGTGCTTTGCACATATAAATTGTGTTGTTTCCCAGTTGAAGGTTTGCAGCAACTCTGCGTCGAGCAAGTGTGTTGGCATGATTTTTTCCAATAGCATTTCCTCACTTTGTGTCTCTGTATCACATTTCAGTAATTCTCACAATATTTCAAGCTTTTTTCATTGTTACTATATTTACTGTGATGATCTGTGATCAGTGGTTATGGCTCGCTGAAAAGCTCAGATGATGGTGAGCACTTTTTAGCCATAAAGTATTTTTTTAATTAAGGTATTTATGTTTTTTTTTTAAGACATAATGATATCGCACACTTAATAGACTACAGTATGGTGTATATATAATTTGCTTGCACTGGGAAATAAAAACTTTCATTTGACTTGCTTTATTGCGAGAGTCACTTTATTGTTGTGGCCTGGAACCAAACCTGCAAATCTCCAAAGTATGCTTAGATTCACCTGCTCCATTCTATCCTTAAAGCATCAAAGCCAACAAACCCAGATTCTATGCCCATGCCCTGTGCATTTTCCATACTTACAAGCTAGACAAGCATGTTTTCTAGAAATCCCCCTTTTCCTTTTTGCTTCCAACTGGTTTAATCTATTCTTATCTCTTTGATCATATATTCCTTTCCATATGTCTGACTTTAGTGTCACTTCTAATTTTGTCCGTTCATTCTCATTTAGTTTTAGTAATCTTTCAGACATTCCTTGTGGCGTGACTATTTCTACCTTGGGCCTTTGCACTGCTACTCAGATCTTTACTTTCCTCAATCCTTTGATGTCCCCAGTTGCCTTGGGTAAGAAATTCCATTCCAGGTTGCTGTAATCCCAGCCCTGACTAGTTCACACCCCTTGGGGAAGATTGGGGTGGGGTGAGGATTGGACATCACTTGCTTGATGTATATTTAAAAATCCTTAGTCCTGTTAACACTCAACACTGGTTTAACTTCCAGCTAAAAATCCTAAACTGTGGCTTATAGCTGGCTTCATTACTGAAGGCTAAGTTTTATCTGTGATGGTTTCGCTTATCTTTGCATTTTACCTATTTAGCTATTAAAGCAATCCCCAGTGGTTTTTAGTTCTTCTCATGAAACCTATTTTCCTCTTCTGCACAGTTTGGCAGAAAGCAGGTAAGACTACGGCCTTCTGTTCATCAATGCCTGTATATGAGAAGAATGGACTCCACATTTGCCTTTCCTCCAATTATATAGCACCTAAAGAGAACCGAGAACTAGTGTGCATGTGGATATATATGTAACTCCTTCTTTTTATACAAATGGGTACATATACAATATCCTGTACCTTTTTTTTTTTTCACTTAACATCCCTTAAAGAACAAAGATGAATGATGTGATGGTTAATTTTATGTGTCCACTTCAGTGCCCATGGGATGCACATGTTAAACATTATTTCCAGATAAAATTAGCGTTGAACAGGGGTTTTACCACAAGGATGCTTCCAGATAAAATTAGCGTTGAACAGGGGTGGGGGAGGGGACTCAGTAATGTAGATTTCCCAATGTGGGTAGGTAGCATCCAATCCCTTGAGGACCTGAAGAAAACCAAAGGTGGAGAAAAGAATTTTCCCCTTTTTTCCTGCCTCACTGCTTGACCTGAAAACTCATCTTATCTTCTCCCACCCCTGGACTGAGATTTACACCATTAGGTTTCCTGGTTCTCAGGCCTTTGGTTTCTGGCTGAAAAATGGCACTGATTTCCTGGGTCTCCAGCTTGCAGATGGTAGATAGTGGAACTTGTCAAACTCCATAATCTCATGAACCAATTCCTTATAATAAATGCCACATAATCCTGAAAAATATAGGCAGTATAATATTGCTAAAAGAAATGCTAAATCAAAAAAAAGATATTATGATCTTGAGTGTGTATATATGTATATATATATATATATACATATATACACATACCTATCAATAGCCCATATTGATAATGTGAAGAGAAATAATGTGAGAGTGATAATGTGACAATGTGAGAATAATGTGAAGAGAAAAATAAGCAATTTTAGTTGAAAATTTGTAGGCATTTATTATGCAGAGTGTTTCAAAAGTCTTAGTGAAGTTTTATGCTTTAATGATTCTGGAAATTTAAATGCTCCAATTACAAATATATCACTTGATAGTATAATTATTTATATTACCCTTCTACTTATTTATTTTTGTGGGTTTGAAAAGTAAATTTTTAATTTTAACTGATTTTGGTGTAATAGTTTCTGAATGACGTTTTCTCAATGGCTCAGTGGCGGAAATCTACTACTTCGCCACCTCGGTCTCTTGATCTGTCTCCATTAGACTTTTTCTTGTGGGGTCATGTTCAAACTGTCTGTCATGTGTTTATGAAAACCTCTTTCTTGGAAGATCTTGAGGCCAGGATTATAAACACTATTCTTTCAATTGCTGAGCAATAGCTGAGAAAAGTTTTTACAAAATTTGAAAATTGACTAGAGTGATGTGTAGCACAAGACAGTAGTTATATTGAATTTTAGTAAGAAACATAGCGGGGTACCTGGGTGGCTCAGTCAGTTGAGTGCTGACTTTGGCTCAGGTCATGATCTCACACTCCATGAGTTCAAGCCCCACGTTGGGATCTGTGCTGACAGCTTAGAGCCTGGAGCCTGCTTTGAATCCTGTGTCTCCCTCTCTCTCTGCCCCTCCCCACGTCTCAAAAATAAAATAAACATAAAAAAAATTTTAAAACTAAAAGAAGAAACGTCATTATTTTAAAATATAAATAACTTTTCAAATCGTGTTAATGTAAGTTAGTAGGACTTACACATCTGAAACAATATAAGCTTAAAACTGCATTAAGACTCAGGACTCCCTGAATAATCTAGATATGAAAACTTGGTTTTAATGTGTTAGTAAATGTCTCTGTGAATCTGTGGTTTACCTT